AACTTCGTCCAGCTTAGCTAACGGATAATGCTGACGTTATTTTTTTTTAATTATTTTTCTCTCGTACGTGACGCTGACTTAGCTAAAAGTTGAATGATAAGGTTAAAATGACGTCGTTTTGATCCAAATATGATTTTTTAACCTAAATCTTAATTCCCAAAAAACTTAAATCTTAATTAAATTAGATTAAAAATTAAAAAAATTATATTTTAAAAAACACAAAAAAGGAAAAAAAAAAAAGTGCAAGGGCGAGGGTTGTAGGCCCTTGCTGCCGCCACCCCACCGTCAAAGCATTGGCGGGGGCTCGTGAGGGCCGACGACCTCGCCGTTTTTTGTGTTTTTTTTTAAATTCCTTTTTTTGTTTTTTGTAATTTTATTTAACTATGATTTTGGTTAAAGAATTAGGATTTAGGCTAAAATGACGTGATTTTATTTTTATATTTCATGTTTTTTAAAGGTCAGTACTAGGTAGAAGAGAGAAAATATTTTTCAAAAATGCCACGAAGGAGATAAAAAAAAAATCATGTTAGTATTAGTCTGATTTGATGAAATTAACGAACTTTTAGGATCTTATTGTATTTTATATAAATTTTATGACTCAATTATAAGGCCGTAGTAGATTTGACAGCGCAAATGATAGCTTCTGTTGTGATGGCTTGACCATCGAGTCTTCGTCTAGAGGAATCATTTGATTTTTCAATTTTTCACCCCTGAAAAGTCCCACCAACATGTCCTTTTCTCCTCCATAACAAAACAAAAAAGAAGGAAATTTCCGGAAAAGGACAGCCAAACTGTGATATCATCACTCCGCCCCATCCTTTCCCCGGGCGCCAGGGTCCAGGGTTCGGCGTGGACGGGGACCTGGGCACTAGCATCGGGTCTCGAGCCCGACCTCGATGGATCCAGGCTCGAGCGCCAGGACCCAATTTCGGGTGTCAGCTCGGTCTTGGTCACGAGGGACTTAGGCGCGAGTGCCGGGGACATGGACCTAGGCCGAGATGCCAGGGAGTGAGGCATGAGCATTGGGTTCTCGAGCTCGGCTTATGTGGACCTTGGACCAGTGCTCGTACTCTTGCTTGTGCTCATGCTCGTGTCGGGAGCCAGGATTCGAGCTCGGGACTTCGGTACCTATGCCTGGTTCCCGAGCTGCTCATGTGCACATCACTAGCAGTTGGATGTGTATGTCTATTTAAAAAAATCAAAACAAATTGACCTGACGTGATTTTTGCAATTGAGTCATAAAATTTACAAAAAATGCAATCAAGTCTTAAAATTTTCAAAATTTTTGCAATTAAGCCATTCCATTAACTTCGTCTAGCTTAGCTAATGGATAATGCCGACGTGATTTTTTTTTAATTATTTTTTCTCTCGTACGTGGCGCTGACTTAGCTAAAACTTGAAATGATAAGGTAAAAACGGCGTCATTTTGATCCAAATATGATTTTTTTAACCTAAATCTTAATTCCCGACAAAAAAACTTAAATCTTAATTAAATTAGATTAAAAATAAAAAAAAAACTGTGTTTTAAAAAACACAAAAAAGGAAAAAAAAGTGAAAGGGCAAGGGTGGTAGGCCCTTGTTGCTGCTGCCCCACCGTCCAAGCATTGGCGGGGCTCATTGAGGGCCGACGACTCTTGATCAGATTAGGGGGCCCTTGACCATACTGTGGCGAGGGCGCCACTAAGCGAGGGTCGTCGGGTCGTCACCTGCAGTTGACGAGGGTTCTCGGCCCTTTCTAGTAACAGTGGGGCGGCGGCGGTTTTGCGTTTTTTGTAATTTTATTTAACTAAGATTTTGGTTAAAGAATTAAGATTTAGGCTAAAACGACGTGATTTCATTTTTATATTTCATGTTTTTTAAAGGTCAATATTAGGTAGAAGAGAGAAAATATTTTTTTTAAAAAGCCACGAAAGAGATAAAAAATAATTAAAAAAATTATATTAGTATTAATTTAATTTGACGAAATTAACGGAAGAATTTGATTATATCAATTTGATAAATTTTAAAATGTTATTGTATTTTATATAAATTTTATTAACTAATTCTAAAGCCGTAGTAGATTTGACAGCGCAAATGACAGCTTCTGTTGTGATGGCTTGACCGTCGAGTCTTCGTCTTCGTCTAGAGGAATCATTTGATTTTTCAGTTTTTCACCCCTGAAAAGTCCCACGTGTGTCCCACCAACGTGTCCTTTTTTCCTCCACAATAAAACAAAAAAGAAGGAAATTTCCAGAAAAGGACAGCCAAACTGTGATATCATCACTCCGCCTCATCCTCTCCCCGGACGCCAGGGTCCAGGGTTCGGCCTCGACGGGTTAGGCGCGGACGGGGACCCGGGCACTCGCATCGGGTCTCGAGCCCGGCCTCGACGGACCAGGCTTGAGTGCCGGGACCTAATTTCATGTGTTGGCTCGGTCTTGGCCACGATGGACTTAGGAGCGAGTGCTGGGGACATGGACCGGGGCCAAGATGCCAAGTAGTGAGGCACGACCATCGGGTTCTCGAGCTTGGCTTATGTGGACTTTGGACCGGTGTTCGTACTCTTGCTCATGCTCGTATTCGTTGCCCGGAGCCGGGATCTGAGCTCGGGACTTCAGTGCCCATGTCCGGTTCTCGAGCTGTTTATGTGCACGTCACTAACAGTCGGATGTGTATGTCTATTTAGAAAAATCAAATCAAGTTTTTCTTATTAAATAATGAAAAATATTTTTCTATTCATTTTTAAATTTTAGCCAAATATCGAAAAATATTATCACTTTCCTTAAAAAATAAAAATTTAAAAATATTTATATATTTCATGAAATAAACGGAGTCTAAATTGAAACAAGGAGGGCGTCAAATTTAAAGCATACATGATGTCGCGGGCTACTGCGACTGAGACGCAGTGGAGACCCATGTGGAGTTATAAATCTTTGTGAGTACAAAATTTATTTGGGAGAGGCATATGAAGACAAGGGCTTGTCAGTTATGGACGGTGACTACTCCAAGCATCGACTCCTTTCCATCGTCAGCGACCTTTCACGTTTCATGTCCACATATTATCTTTCTACCTACGCAAAATGCTAATCTCCATCTACAAAATCGATGACAATCAAAATCTCGTTTATTTCGCGAAAAATATAATATTTATGAAAAAATATTTTTTAAGGAATCATTTTCAAGGAAAATGATAATATTTTTCGGTGTTTAACTGTAACCTAAAAATAAACTGAAAAATATTATCCGTCATTTGATAAGAAAAATATGTTTCTAAATAGACATATATTATTCGGAACACCATAAATAGTTAAGGAACAGAGTACGGGCACTAGGGTTCATGGTCCAGCCTTGATGGACCCCGATTCGTGCCTAACCTCGATGGATCCAAGCGCCGAGGACCCGAGCACGAGCTCTGGGGTCTCGATCCTGACCTTCATGGACCTGGGCGCGAGTGTCGAGGACTCGGACTCAGGCATCGAGATCCTAGACCAGACCTTGATAACACGATCCCGCCTTATTGGACTTGGGCATGGGTGTTAGAGATTCGGGCACGAGCGCCAAGGTCCCGACTTGGCCTCTGTGGATGGGCACTTGGGTTCCGAGCCTCGCTCTTTGGACTCGAGCTCGGCCTCAATGGAACCCGCCCCGTTGTCAAGGGCCTGGGAACAAGCATTGGGGTTCTCGTGTCAAAACGTAGAGTTTTTAGTCCAGGCACTATATATTTAGTCATATTTTTGAAAAATGATTTCTGATTTTTAAAGAGGTAATCGTTTCTTAGAGCCTAAACATAGATTTTCTGTTTACAAAAAAAATATTTTTCGTTGACTCATTTTCGTAAGCGATCCAAACACCGGAAAATATTTTCCGCGAAACAAACGTAGTTTAAATTTGCCAATCATTATAATTCACTCTCCACCAAATGTCTCATTCGTATTCCACTTCCTTTAATTTGATGTGTTTTCATTTTAATGCAGTGTAATTTTCTCCCATTTTGCTTTCCATCAGACATGGTTCCGTGGGATCCACGTTCCATCAAAGTTTCATGCGTACGCTTTGTGGCCGAGCATGAAACCATTGGGCGGGGTCCAGCCGTTTGGAAGTTCGATCGCTTCTTAGTGCACGTCAAATTCCGTTAGCCTTTCTGACCAAAAAAAAAAAAAAAATTCCGTTGGCCTCTCTTTGGCGCGTATGTCGGTCGATTTACACCTACAAAACCATACATTTTGTAAGGGGGATGTGCAGCAAATTTAGTTCCAAGATACAAGACGAAAAGGCAAAAAGTCTGCAAACTTAAAAAAAATCCAGGTTTTTCTTGGGGAAAATCACACAAATTGTCTCTCAACTTTGGTCCTATGTGCAATATAGTCCATAAAGTTTTAATTTATTCAATGTGATCCCCGAATTTTAACCCAATGTGAAATATAGCCCTTGAACTTTTGATGCGTTCAACATGGTTCTTGAACTTTCTATATGTGTTCAATTTAGTCACTAGATTTCATAAAAATGTTCAATGTCATCTTTCAATTAATTCAAGTTCGGGGACAATATTAAATAATTTCATATAGTTTAGTTATTAAATTGAACATGTATCGAAAATTCAGAGACTACATTGAAAGCATTGAAAGTTTGAGTTAAAGTTTAGGGACTATATTGAATAAATTAAAAATTCAAAGATTAGATTGCACATTGAATCAAAATTTATGGGCTATTTATGTAATTATTCATTTTTCCTTAAAAGGCCGACGTAAATTTCACGGTGCAAATGATGCATCCGTTGCTGCGAAGGGGCTTGACCCGCCGAGTCGTCCTCGTCGAAAGGAATCGTTTGATTTTTCAAACCCCGAAATATCCCACGTGAGTCACGCCGACGTGGCCCTTTTCCCCGTCCCATAATACAACCAAAGAAAGCAGGAAATGTCCAAAAGAGAAACGGACGGACGAACCGAGATTTCATCGTCGCTCCACCCCATCCTTACATCCTTCGGCTTTCACACACCGCACGCATAAATATGTCTCAAGCCCTCGCCGCATCCTCCCACATCTGAGTTTCGCAGACCATTTCTGCTGACTCCGAAACCGAAGAAAGCCCCTCAGAAACGCAGCGAAGAAGAAGAAGGAGGAGGAGGTGCAGCGGAGCAGTAACGTTTTTCCTGCGGCCATGTGGGGTTTCATGGAGGGCTGGCTCACCCCCAGCTCGCTCTTCCTCTTCCTCAACCTCGTCATCGGCACCATCTTCCTCACCTCCCGCTTTACCTCCCCCAGGAGAGGGCACCCCGACCACCACCTCGGCCACTCCGACCAGCCGCCGCCGCTCGCCCGCGCCCCTTCCCTCCTCGACCGCGTCAGGTCCATCGACTTCTCCCTCTACAAGTTCGGCCACCCCGCCGGCGGATACCCGGAGCCGGCCCAGTACGGGCACTCTTACCCGGAGCACGATTTCGCCGACCGCCGGGTCGACGCGCCCCCGCCGCTCGCCCGCGCCCCGTCCCTCCTCGAACGGTTCAAGTCCATCAACTTCTCTCTCCACATGTTCGACCACCCCGCCGGGTATCCCGAACCGGACCACGTCCCCGCCCAAGGCTCGTACCCGGAGCCGCAGTTCTCCCACCGGGTCGACTCGCCGCCTCTCGCCCGGGCGCCTTCCCTCGTCGAGCGGCTCAAGTCCTTCGACTTCTCCCTCTACAAATTCCAAGCGCCGGGCTACGGCCAGCCGCAAGCCGACCACGGCGAGCATTCACCGGAACAGGAGTACGGGGGCCGAGTCGAGCCGCCACGGCTCGCCCGAGCCCCGTCTCTCCTCGAGCGAGTCAAGTCCATCAACTTCTCTTCCTTCTACAGATCGAGCGAACATGACTCGGACGCAGACGCGCTTCACCACCTCGGATTCGACTCCGGTTCTGAAGACGACGCCGACGACTCAGCTCCCTACAGTGGCGCGGGTCGGGCCCGTCAGGACCATCGAGTGAGGAGGATCAGGTCGGACCCGAGGACAGACGCCCCCGGCGAGGCGCCGGCCAGGCTCCCCGCGAAGATGAAGAAGTTGGCCAGCGAGAGGTCGGCGGGCGGGCACTCCGAGGAGGAAGAGGAGGACTTCGTGGAGCGCCGGAGGCCCCAGACGGCGAGAGAGGGCAGGAAAAACAGCGGCACGGCGGCGGCGGCGTCCGAGGAAGAAGGAGGAGACGAGATCGACGCGAAAGCCGACGCCTTCATCAACCGGTTCAAGCAGCATCTGAAGTTGCAGAGGCTCGACTCGCTCAAGCGCTTCAGTGAGATGCTGAGCAGGGGCGCCTCTTGAAGATGGTGCCGGTTTTGCCCCCCCGCCCCCTCCCTCCGTCGATCGTGTCCGGAGCATGGGCATCGCCGTCATTTCGCCCCGTCCGACGAGTCAACAACCCGCGAGGAGACGCACAGAAGAAATGCAGTTCGGTTCGGTACGAACAGGTGAGACGAATCCTTCTTTTTTTTTTGTTTTCTCTGTTTGTTTTTGGTGGCTCCACGGGAGGCGATGGGATCAGGGGCATTTCTGTAATTTCGTGAGGCGGATTAGGGTTGGATTAATTAAGGAAAACTGCTGCTGCTTTTTGAGGAGTGCCCGGGATTTTTCTTTTTTCTTTTTTATTTATTTAAAGTAACGTGCAGTGGCATTAAAGTAAGGGTGGCATGTAATTATTATTAAATTGTCCAGATTGGTGTGAATTATGAATGAAGAGAGTTTGACTTTTGGGATCGGAAGTCATCAATCGATGAGCGAACATGCATTTTGTCTGCTGCAGCAGCGGGCATTCGCGGTTCTGTTTTTTCGGCATGGACCGACCTTAAATCGCGGGGTTTCGCACGTGGATGTTGCCGATTGGGTTTTTGGCTGTGTCTGGTTAAAGCTTATCCTAGGTCGGCCGAAAGTCGGCATGCTATATTGGACCATACTCAATCCCTGTTTAGACTCGTTGATTGATGCATTATCATTATCATTATCATTATCATTATCATTAGTATTAATATTAGTATTAGTAAGGGTTGGCTAGTTTTAGTTTGGGTCAACTATCTAATTTTGACTTCTTGACTTGCGGGGGGCTTTGAGATTGAAAATTTAAGAAAATGTCTTCGAGGGTGATCTGCTTATATGGAGAGAATGGCTGTGTATCCCAAAGAGTACTTTGTGGGGGCGCTTTCACCTGCTTCTCACTTTTCGCACTCATGTAAAAAGAACGCCATGACAAAGCTCTTCCTTTTCTCGATTTTTCAAAATAATTACTAAAAAAAATCGTAAATTTATTGTATTTATGTCAATTCAATTATAAACTTTTTAATTTGGCAAATTCGATTTTAAGCCCTGTGACGATTTGTCAATATAGTTCTTTTGATCAATTTTGATCCGAAATCGCTGACGTGGAGGCTGGTTGTCTTAAGTGATATGGCTAGTGCTGACATGAATGATTTTTGCAATTTTTTTTAAAAAAATTGAATTTTTTATATTTATATCTTTTACCTTTTCTTTTCCACTGGGTCAGTGAGGTTCACTAGGGCCTCGGCCACGGCCAGCAAGGATAGGCCTAGCCCAATGGCAGACGAGGCCCTGGCGACTCTCGCTAGCCACGGTGAAGAAAAAAAGAAGATAAAAGAAAATAAAAATATAAAAGATGCAAATTTTTTTAATAATTGCAAAAAAAGAAGTCCACGTCAATGTTAAACTGTGCCACGTAGGATGATCGATATTCATATTAGCAATTTCCGGCTAAAATTGACCAGAATGACATTATTGACGGATCATTAAAAAAATTAGGATAAAATTGGTTAAATTGAAAGGTTTAAAATTGACAATAAATGTAATAGGTTTATAATTTTTTTGGTAATTTCTCCCAATTTTTCTTTATTAAGATTGGGCGAGAGAGAGAGAGAGAGCCCGTGAGAGAAGATCCTCTGTCCCATGCAGTGCTCCTATAGTATCCCGATAAATCTCAACATTTGATCATAGTCTTATTTTCATAGATCGAACGTCTGAAATTATCGGGGACTTAAAGTAAGTACTAGAATTCCGACAAAAAGAAAAGTAAGTACTGGAAAAGAGGCTGCACGATTACGAAGCATAACGCCATGATGTCAAAACTTTTGTGACGGGTGGGAAGAGAAAAGCAATCCCATCTAGATAAAGAAAAGCTTTCTTTTTTCTTTTCATGCTTGGTCCGTACCTAACCTGGCCATTTTTTCTTCCATTCCAAATCATAGACAAAATGTTATTATGGGTTATTAAAACAACAATAAGAAGATGGGATCTTTCCATTCCTATGATATTGAATTTAATTCTAAGTGTCATTTTTTATTTTATTATTATCACTCTTTCTTTTTTTACTTATTTATTTCCCTTTTTTTCAAGAGAGAGAGAGAGAGAGAGCGAGAAAAATTAAGGAATCCTGAACATAGTATAAAAGATGCACGTGAGCGAACATTAAATTTCTTTTCTTTTCTTTTTTGTGTCCCCGTGAGTCAACATCAAACTCAATTGTTTTTTTTCTTTTGTGTGTGTTTGGATACAAAGGGCTAAAAAGCCAAAGGAGAATCCAAAACTCCAATGGGAAACGCCTATCTGAGCATATACCGCCAAGAACAATATTGGACCAGTCTGCCCGGGGCTTCTGCAGAAAATGTAGATTCTGCAGAAAGTTAGCGAGCAAATCTGCTGGTCCATTCTTGTAATGGCATTCGAAAACGCGGTCGTTTGATTCGATTCAGCAAAAGGATCCCGCTTCATTGTATTCCTGTCCTTGTTCCTTAACAACTCTATAACCAATGGCGATTCCGTTTCAACTAGGAGCATCATTTGAGGGTCGAATAGTCGTGCAAATTCGGGATCGTGCCGATAAAGCCCAAAGTTCCGCCGGTGTGGAAGAGCATATGCCCCACCAAACTTGTGCAGCCTCCAAATGTAATTTCCTCCTCCATCTCCGAACACAGCACCTGCTCTGGCGAAACCCGGGTTGCCTTTGGTTGCCCTGTCAGTATTGAGTTTCACACACTCGTTCACTAGCAAATTAACTCAGCATCTCCCCTTAATGAAGTCCTATCTTTCTTTCGGAGGTACTGACCGGCAGTGAGGTAGAGATGACCGAGCGACATAGAATTTGGCGATGACAACAGCATGTCGTAGAAGGAAATAACGGGTGGAGCCAACAACCCACTATGACTAAAGGTACCTTAACATCGTAATCATGTCATTGGTCCAGGTAAGACTTCCCCAATGCAAAGGTTCAGTTACGTATAATTGATAAACTAATGAAATCATGATCTACCGAAAGGCATCCTCCTTTTCATCCTCCACTATGCTGACTCCCTCTCCCAGCTTCACAGCTTTTTCCCCTTGAGGAGCAACAAAGAGGGAGTTCCTATTTAGATGAGATAGTAACTTCGATTGAATAAGGGTATGCTTCACATTCACGGAAAACCAATTTCTCTTCCTCTTCATCGAGCATAAAACAATGAGAAGAAGGCTGCCTGAAATTTGTGTTTCTGTATGATTACAATGGAGAATGCTTATCAATCTTCCTTATTCGCCGCACCGACTGTTTGCCTAAAAAATTATCCAAGCACCTGTAGCTGAACCAATGAAATTCGTTGCCATCAACTAAGAGAATATGAATAAATGTCACTGTCAAAGAGTCCCGAACCATATCTCTGTTTGTTGCAACGGATCCTCTGAATTGGCATCCCCACCCACCTTTATTACTTCATCCATCAAGCCTTCCAACACAGGGTATATATCTTCGCAGAGTGGGTGGGAACGGTCTTCAGCGTTAAAAGAATGAACCTGGTTTTGAACCTCAATCCAACTCCAGCCAGGGACCTTCCTCACCCCTCTTTCCCTCATAAGCCTCTTTACCCTCGCATGATCACCCCATTTTTGAAGGCGCCCATACATGTCCGAGAGCAGAACATAAGTGCTATGTTCTTCAGGCTCTAACTCAAGTAGTCGATTCCCGACCTGACAAGCCAATTCCAAGTTCCCGCTACTCCTACAAGCACCCAATAAAGTCCTCCACACCATCATATCAGGTTGAAACGGCATCAAATCCACCAAGGCCTTAGCCTCATTCACAAGCCCAGCACGCCCAAAAAGATCAATTGCACAAGCATAGTTCTCCATCCTTGGAGGGATTCCATAATCCGTTTCCATTGATAATAGAAACCCATAGCCCTCTTCAACCAAACCAATGTGGCTACAAGCAGTCAGTACAGCAACAAAGGTGATGTGATCAAGCTTTATTCTCCTTGCTCTCATCATATGGAAAAGATCAAGTGCATCGTGTCCTAGACCATGTTGTGCGTAGGCAAAGATAATCGCGTTCCAAGTGACTGAGCTGCTTTGGAAGGTCTCTTCAAAAGAGCTTCTAGCATCTTTAATAATGCCACACTTAGAGTACATAAAGATCAGGGCACTGCCAACATATTCATTTGACTCGAAGCCAAACTTAAGTGCCAATGCATGAACTTGTTGGCCCAAAACGAGAGTTGCTAAATCAGAGCAAGACTTGAGAACTGCCGAAAGAGCATAATGATCGATCTCAGTATTCAAAGATCTCATCCGAGCAAAAAGTTCCAATGCATCTTCACTTAACCCAACTTGGGAGTATCCAGTCAACATGGAATTCCAAGAGACCCGGTCCTTGGATTCCATTGATTCAAAGACACTAATAGCTTCGTCCATGGATCCATTACCCAATTTGATATACATAGCAATAAATGCATTGGAGATTGGTAATGATTGCTCCAGACCTCTTTTAATTACCAAAGCATGGAAGGACTTTCCCAGATTTTCTTGTGCTTCTTCAAAACAAGCACTTATGACACTTGTGTAAGTGTAAAAATCTGGTTCAATGCCCAGCCATTGCATATCAATAAAAAGCCTAAAGGCAGAGTCTTCTTCACCATGCACAAGGTAAGCAGCAAGCATTGAATTCCATGTCACTATATCTCTAAAGACAACGCTATCAAACAGTTTCTTAGCATCTTCAATGGAACCACACTCCGAGTATGAACAAACTGCAGCATTACAAACAGTATTTTCCCATTCTAGACCATGCTTCATAACTTTGGCATGGACCTGTGCAGTTAGCTTGATAAACTCATGGTCGTTGAGCAATGTCAAGAGAGGAGCGAAGGTCCCATCATCTGGTTTAACACCCTCATGCTCCATGCTATCTAAAAGCCCAAATGTGGTCTCTCTGTCACGGCTTTGCGCAAATCCACTGATAAGTGCATTCCACGAGACAGAGTTACGTTGTGGCATGTGTTGAAGCATGATGTACGCATCCTTAACCCTCTCGCACTTAGCATACATGTCCAAAAGAGCGCTTCCCGCGTAAACATTCCTGGCATATCCTTGCTTGAAAATCAAGGAATGCAATTGCTGTCCGAGATCAAGTCTACTAGCACTGGCTACTCCCTTCAGCATACTTGAAAAAGTATAAGCATCCACGTCTAGTCCACATTGTCTCATTGACTCCAGAAAATCCCATGCTCTCTCCAACTTACCACTATTAACATAACCGGAAATCATGGTGTTCCAGGACACTGTATCCCTGTTGCGCATTCGGTCGAACAGTTGGTGAGCAACCCAGATTTCTCCGCATTTCGTATACCCACTTAATATGTTATTGGCAGTATAGAGATCCCTCAAAGTCCCTGCTACGATAGCTTGACAATGGGCTATCAAAGCCTTGCTTAGAGCGGACGCTTTGTTGTCGACAAGCGAATGAAGCGCCCTCATTCACGAGCAACCACCACTCTGCTGCAACTTCTACTGTTCCTACACATTCGCAGCGCCTGATACTGTAGAAAAAAGCGAGTTTTGACGATACCCCTTCCTTCAAAACGATTACTTTCGCAAAGGGTTGAGCCTGAGGTATTCTTCTTCCTCGTCAAGGAGGTGCAACACCACCATTCGCCATTGCCGGGGGCTTTTTCTATAAATAATCGACTTGCCTTGAAGCTCTTTCTCTCTCAATCTCGTGGAACAGTGGGTGGAGGTGAGATGGATCTTGGCTATGGCGGGGAAGGAAGGAAGGAAGAGCGGCAAAAGAAAGATGTATGACCTGAAGAAGAAATACAAACGGATGGGGGACAGAGGAAAAGACATCGTATTTCATGTTCAAGAAAAATGGACTTCTAATCGGGCATGTGAAATATAAGATATATATTCGTTTGATTGACACGTGGAATAATTTGATTATAAAATTAACTTCGAACACGAATTTTCTTTAGAGAAAATTATTTGGGCAAATGTCACCAAAAACTTCAAAAGATGACACCAATATCCTGAACAATTTTCTTGTGTCATCCAAAAAAGACAAAACTTGTATTAGTGTTGACACATATATTTTCGATTCCGTTCATGAATATTGTTAAAAATCAGATGTGGCATTTGATGTGACATTATTAATGTTTTTTTAGGACAATTAGTGCTGGTGTATCGACACGCAAGCGCCACATAAAAAAACTGAAAAAAGCCCAAAAGAAAGGAAGAAAACCTAGAACAAGATGAGAGAGGAGGAAATTCAATTGCAAAGTGTCACATCAATCACCAACGTGGCGTCGGACGTTAATCATTGACGTGACATTTTGTAATTACTGAATATTTTTTCATGAGAGAGGGATTTGGGCAATTGTGACTGTCGAGCTCAAGGCCCCAAATCTAGGCAATCTCCACTACGCCGCTCGGGCGCGACTCCGTTTGGGCCAAGCTCCGCCTGCAGCTTTGAGGTCGACTATTGAGCTCCGCTCGTCACGAGGACATCAAACATAGATATGAGGGTCAAGCTCCGCCGCACGTCGAGCTCGGCTCTACAGTCACGATCGACCTGTACCACAGTGTCGAACTCAAAGAGTTCGGAGAGGCTCGGATGGAGAGAAAATGAATAGGCGATGACGGGTTGTCGGGGTTGCAATATCTTCAATGGAGGTCGCAACCACTAGTTGAGGCGGTGAGACCTTCGCTGACCTCGGATTAGAGGCTCAATCTCCACATCTGAGGCTGTGCGGAGGCCGGCCGTGATCTCAATTGGAGGTTGATTCGAGAGCGTGACAGAAATAGACAGAGCGAGATGGAGTCGAGCATGGCCTCTAGCGGTTGTAGACTCCATCATAGATGTAGTCGAGCATAGCTAAATAGAAATTGGTATTGGCGATGGCGACGGCGATGGCGAGGGCGGCAACGGCGGACAGAGTCTTGATTCGGACTCATAGGAATCGAGAATTGGTAGATTTGAATTGCAATGAACCAAGCAAGAAAATTATAAAATGACTTTGGCATAATTTTGCCACATGGCAGCCACATCAGCACTATTTGTCTTCTACATAAGCCGTTACATAAGATTTTTAATGGCGATCTTTGACGGAATCGTGACAAATTGTATATATGTCATAAAAGGTATAAATTTGGAGTTTTTTGTGATACCACAAACCGCCTAGAATATCGACATCACAATAAGCATAATTTGAAATTTTGGATGCACTCTTTCACAGCGGGGTGACCGGAGTCTCCTATAGGTGGTGGGAGAAGTTGGAAATTTTCGTTCGATCTATTTATTTTTTATTAATTGTTATCATTATTATTATTGTGGAAAAGGTCTATTTGGGCCATTAAATGGTGTCATACATGAAAGAGTGCATGTCCCAAAAAATAAAATAAAAAAAGCACCCCCAATCCGTTAAAAAACAAACCTTCTTGTACCCATGCCACAACTAAGAAAAATTTACAATGTCTAATTCAATTGTAGTAAAGAAAGAACAGAATGAGCACTTTCAAATTCCAATGAGAAGCCCCATTTGCTAACGCATACCCTTTGTGAAGCTTTGCTTTGGCTCCTCAGGTTTAATAAGTTGGTCGACCCTGCAAAATCTTAGGAAGAGACAATCCTGTCATGTGTCCGCGACCTTCATATAGCGAGCCCGCTCGTCTTTTCAATTTTGAGATTACCCGGTTTCTTGGGGTTCACTCGTGATCTTCGCGGTAGGGTCGTCGTTCCAAGGCTCGGACATGCGAAGGAAATCGAAGGGCTCGATGCTGCTCGCTCCTTCTTCGTACGTCGATTGGTAATTGAGTCCTCGATGATAATTCATGTGACTCGAGTCAAGCAGAGTAGTATTCTACATGCACGAAAGGATGGCAATTGAATGAGTCCCTTCCGCAAATATCGTGCTCAAAGATTTGTTAGTTATGTTTTAGGCTTACCGGATGAGACTGGATCACATGGTAGAAACTCCGACTGCCGCCCCCATTCGAGAAAAACGACGGCGGCAACGGCGGGAGTTCGACTAAAGCATCATCAAAGCCCTGTCGTTGCCTCTTCGATTCCTGGTCTCTCTGCTGAAAGAAAGATAGGCAACGGTTCGCGTCTTCGAGCTGCTTCTCGCAGATCTCTATCTCCCACTTGAGTCTCCAAGCGACGACGAGACATCCGTGCACGGGATTGCCCCTCCGTGAGTATCGACTTGGCGGCCTCTTTTCTCATTTTAGGGTCAACCGCCCGTATGATGTTGTGTATGTTGCCCACGCCGAAGAGCCGTTGCGCATTCTTGAACTCGTCGTACCGGCTTGCCGGGAAGAGGTCGGCGTATTCGCAGCTTCCGTTGCACCTCTTCTTTTGGTGTCGACATGATGCACATGCTTTGGAAGTTGCAGGCATAGCTTCCCGATTCATTAGAATCCGGAGTCGTAAGCCAGCCACAGCGAATTCTTAGTCTCGAAGTGCGAGAGATTGAAAGTACCGAAGCTATAGCACAGCAATGTTTCTTAGAGGGTTTTAAATTTAATATAGGCTTTGACTTAGAATTCAGATGTAAGGGTAGATTTCTCGCTAAATTTGGATAACTAGTGTTAATGGGGCTAGATTTTGTTTGCCCTAAATGCAACCTAGGTTATTAATTACTTGCTAAAGTCACAATGTTCCTTAGTATCTCTACATTAGTGAGCAAAACCATTAAGAAAGCCTATGGATAATATTTAATTGTATGATAATTATGGATTGTTATTCAATGGACGAAAGCGGAAATTAAAATCTCGATATAATTTATACGCAATGCCAAAAATATGTTTCATACCAACCTTTCGGTTTGATATTTTTCATCCTCCAACCATTCAAATCAACTTCGTAAAATGGTTTAATTTACAGTATTTGATCTTTCTTTGCATACTGAGAAACTTGTTTGCTCTTTTGTCCTGTGCTTATTGGCGCACCCTCTTTTGCTTGTTTGAAGAGGACAATTAGACATTTCGTGCTCCATATTAGAGTCGGGTGTCAACAATACCCGGCCCGAACAGAAATTTTTGGGTCTTTTCGGGCCGGATCTCCTTCCAGTTCAAATAATGAGTAAAGTTATTTGGGAATGTTGACATCTCGGTTCCAGTCATGTACCCGAACCGACCCGAAACAAGCAACTCATCTCTTCCCTTGTCAAAATCTCACATAATTCAAAATACCGAAACTCTCAACACATTCCTGCAACTAGCTTCTGTGCCGCTGGCCATCACCTCGGCCGTTGCGAGCCGTTTTGCCATCACCAAGCCACCGCCCATAGCTAAGCCGATCTCCATCACTCTCGCCGTATGACGTAGCTCCCCTCGCTGGGCATCACCTTCACCCTCCATCATATCGTCTCCCTCCCTCTCTCCTCCATTGCATCTTTGTTCCGTGTTTCTCATCTAAGCTCTTTCTCTCTCTGCCATGCTTGTTTGCGGGGCTGCCAGAGTCAAGGATGACTGCTACGACGTCGGATTTAAGGTCGCCACAGCGGTCGTCCGTGGCAATTTAACCTCAAATCAAGGTCACCGACCTCATCATGGTCGCAAGCTGGAGAGGGAGGGGTCGAGGTTGAGAGTGATGGGGTTGTTGGGGTGTGGTTTATATTTCCCATCAACAAGAAGGCATGGAGTCCCGCTCACCCAGGTCCGAGGGTCGTCTCAATGGGGTCGCAGGAGACAGCACCACCGGGTCGTCAGTGGACTTTTATAGTTTGAGCCTGTATTTTATTGGTATTTTGAATTTGGGCTCATGAATAGTTGCTGTCTATATATAATCTATTTCTCTTGTAATTGAGAGTTATAACAAAGAGGTAAGAGGTGCTAATTATAGAGGAATCCTCTAATAATATAATTCTATTTTAAGGGTGAACCGGGATAAAACCTTGTGTCTTGATTTGTTTTTCTCGCCTTCACTCTCTATTTCGTTATGTTTCTGCGCCTAATCCTAGCATAAGTGAGGTAGAGACCAAGACAGAGAACGAGCCGACGGCGACAGTTTGTCAGAGGCGCACAGGAGGGATGGCGTTGTAGTGATTGCAGGTGGACAGCAACGATAACTTCGTCAGAATCACAAAGGGGGGACAGCAGTCGCAAGCGGTTGGGTCCGGCGGCATGGAGGCTGGGATTTTGGGGGTCCGGTTGGGGCAAATTAGGGTTTTTTGAAGAGGAGGGATGGTTATGCTTCATAGTAGAAGCCATGGAGAGTAGAGAGAGAAGCATGAAGGGAGGAATTGCTAATTGGACAAATAGCGACCGTTGAGAGAGAGAACGGTGCAAAGGAAAGAAAAGGAGGACGCGAAGATGCAGAACGAGAGGAAGAAAAAGAACAACCCAAAGACCCGAACCGAACTATTGTTTCAGAGTGGGTTTTGTACGGTTCGGGTCACGAACAATATATATCATCCGTGTTCGGTTCGGTTCGAGTATCGGTGAAACCTGTACTGAACGGATTCTGGGTTGTTTTCTACTATTCAGTTTTGAAAAGGTTTTTGAGGAATAGAAGAGCGTACGGACGTTTGTTGTTTTCCTACAAAAAAATAGGTTCCTTCAAAAGATTGACCTTCAGATCTTTTCTTAATTATGTGTGCTGTTAATGTGCAATCTATTCGATCCCATCGGGCAGGATTGGACCTGGCTGCGCACCACAAACAAAGGAAGTCTTCTCGGCTTGACCTTCGAACGTGCAAACTCACCCGCTCGACATAATCCAACAAAACGCCGAAAATCCGATGAAATAAAACCCGTTTTCAATTTGTAGCAAAAGGATAATGGTCTCAACATCAGCAACAATATTAATCACAACATTCCAGTCAAATGCTTGTTACTTTAGCAGGTGTAGTATAAACAATATAACACCAACCAACGGCTTGGGGCTTTCCGCTGGTGTTGGAAACCATACGATACCATCCTGCTTGTAAATATTATTATTATTATTTTTGTATCGTTGTTCTCTAATAATTACCATCTGCTTCGAATCACTTAACGGTTGTTAGATCAAGCATCGTCTATGTCCATGTACATAAGATAATCGACCAACGTACATTAGCTACTTTTCTCCATCGTTTTATATTCGTTGGGACTAGACCTGTCAAAATAGGTTATAAACCCATTTCTTAACCTATACAAGATGGGCCGAGTTGTTATATGGGTTACTTAGGTGCTGCATGAAAACCATTCTGGTTCTGTCCAGAACTGGTTTTTTGTTCCCAGAATCAGTTTTGGACCAGAAACCCGTTTGGTAACGCAATTTCATTTTTCTATTTCCGGGACAAGTTTGCTTCCAAAACTGATTCAGAAACCAGAAATGAGAACAAAAAAAAGTTGGTTTTTCATTTCTGGAACAAAAGTGAGAACCATTTCTGAGGAATTCATTTTCTTCAACACACATATTCATATGGAAGTCACGATCTTTGAGGTGAGAAAAAAAAGCAAAAAATCAAAAATTTCAAAATTTAACAGAATGGTTTAGAATTTGTGGCTACTCACTTTCAGTGAAATTTAAATTTTTTTAGGTACCGAAAAAAAATAAAAAATTTCAAAATTTCACAAAATGGCTTAGAAAACCTATGGCCACCCACTTTGAGCAAAATTTAATTTTTTTAGTTGCCAAAAAAAAAAATAAATAATAAAAAATTTAAAAATTTAAAAACTTCACAAAATATCTTAAAATACCCGTGGCCACCCAATTTGAGCGAAATTTTATTTTCTTAGGTGCCGAAAAAAATAAAAAAGCAAAAAATCAAAAATTTCAAAACTTCACAGAATGGCTTAGAATACTTGTGGCCATCCACTTTGAGTAAAATTTAAATTTTTTTAGTTGCCGAAAAAAATAAAAAAAATAAAAAATTTCAAAACTTCACAGAATAGCTTACCATCCGCTTCGAATCACTTAACGGTTGTTCAATCGAGCATCTTCTATGTCCATGTACATAAGATAATCGACCAACGTGCATTAGCTACTTTTCTCCATCGTTTTGTACTCGTTGGGACTAGACCTGTCAAAATGGGTTATAAATCCATTTCTTAACCTAAACAAGATGGGCCGAGTTGTTATATGGGTTACTTATATTCAATAAAGGGGTTTACAACCTACTTAAACTTAACCTACTTCTGTGATTCTCTTTTCATTTTCTCTTGCCTTTATTCGATCTCGCGATTATTCACTCCACACTCTTGCATCAGTTTGGGTATGAATTTTCCTAAATTGTGTTAGATATGGAAGTGTTTTAAGAATATATGTCGGGTCGGGTATGTGTTGGATATTGGCCAAATAGTGTATGGGCCACTAAATTTGCATTACATGGAAATGAGTCAAACTAATTAAATGGATCTACCTGGGTCGGACCATTTTCGGTCCGACCCAAACCCGACTCGACCCACCCGTTTTATGGGTCTAGTTGCAACTTATCGTTTCTATATTTATACAACATCATCTAAGATAGGTCGGTACTCTACTCTCGTTCGACGACTTTTCGTTTGAGCAAAACCACCCGAAACCTTGTAAAACATATTTTTTCCATTGCATGTTGATCATCATTGATGATCATACAATATCTTCATATTTATATTCACAGCTATCGTTTTCCAAATCTAGAGAGAATTTCACGAATAAAAAAGATACGAAAAACACAAAACAAGCAATACGTAAAGAAAACATTTTCGTCGATTTTCGAGGGGACATCGTAGATCAAGGCGTGAAGTCCTGGTCTAAAATTTTTAAATTGCAGTTGCTCAATCCCCACCCGAGGACTAAGGAGACCAACGAATGGGAACGGTGAAAAGCAGAAATTCCTTTCATACCGTCGTTTGGCCAAAAGAAGATTGTCCCTATAATTTCATATGCAAAAGATAAAACGTACGCACGCCACTTACGCTAATATAAACGATGGTTTTTACATTGCTTTGAGTTCTTGAGGGGATTGTCCAAAAAAGTCCCAAACTTATTATACGGCGGTCAATTCATTTCTAAACATTTCGATTGTGTCAATTTAGTCATAAATCTTCTGACAATTTGCCATTTTAGTGCTTAATCTTTCAATTGTGCCAAATTAGTCATCAACATTTCGACTATTTACTAATTTAGTACTAACCCTTTTAACGGTTTGTCAATGTAGTCATTTCAGTCAATTTTGGCCAGAAATCACTTACGTGGACGCCGGCCGACTTGCATGGTATGGCCGGTGCTAACGTGGACTATTATTCTATGTATTTTTTTTTTTTACTAAAATCTTCCTTTCTTTTTTTCATCTCGCCAGATGTGCCATTGAGAAGTTGGAACAAGTCGAAATGACAAAGTGGAAGCAGGGAATGAGTCAAAGAGGGAAGGCAACATATGCCTTGAAACTTTGGACACTAGTATCTTGAGTAAAACTTGTTTTTATTCTTTCCCCTTTAAAGCAGTGGTTAGGAAGCATAAAGCAAGCGAGAAACCCGCAGAAAGGAAGCACGGAAGCAATAGTGGCTGAGAGATGTTGACTCGCACGCAAAGGGGAGGGAGACGTAGTAAACAGAAGCATGGAGAGACAGAAAGGCCCGAAATCAACGGGAGTTGGACACGATGTTGCTATGTTGAAGTTACTTTAATGAAAAGATGTCCAGACGACTATGCTAAGCCATTCTCTTCATTTAAATCCATAAAAAAACTTTAGTGATGCATGCCATAATCAAGGGTCCTTTTCTCTTGAATAGTTCACGAGTTAGGTGGAACTCGTCCTAACATCGGATCTGTCGACGCGACCCTTTTTCTTTAAAACTCTGAACCACCCTAACTGTCGACTACTCTAGTTCACATAATATCAGAAATCAATTGGCTCTTTTGGAAGTGAACTGGCTTGCATTATGCCATATGATACGTCAAGGATTACGTTCGAAGATTCTCTGTTGAATTCGAACTTCAACTGCAAAATTCTGATTTCGAATTGATAGATTTTTATGATCAATATTCTTGGAACATAACCCACTTGCAACCCAACCTTTTTCTAATCACACTGCGTGTATTGCATTTGATAGATTAGGTTTATTTACAAAGTAGTATTTCAGATTTGTACCGTGTGCATATAAAGATAACCCACTTTCGTATCTTTGTTGGTGACCCTTCCTTGGCTTGATCGTGATCTTGTGGATTGAACATCATTATTGTGGTCACGTCGTGCGAGATCACGCGTGAGACCCGCCATCGCTTGCAATTACGATTGACCCGGTAAACGATGAAGCGAGTCTATGCAAATACTTTTACTGTAATTCTAATCATGTCATACCTAGCAAAATCAAAATAGATGTAATGCTAATCTTCAAGTTGTCTCTTGCTAATGGTTGATGATCTATTCAACCATCGAAATACAATTCGATAAACTCATTATTAATATCTCTACTACCCATGTTTATAAATCATACTAAAGGCTAAAATCTTTCGGTTAATAAATCATACAGAGCTCTTGCCATTTTCCTACTATAATGGTGATAATAAATCATTGATGCAGAGACAATAAATGATCCCGGTTCATATGGAGTTTTACATCCCGATATTTGTACACATTTTAATGTTAGCATATTATAGTGCTACAAAGCATATGACCAACATGAAGGAAATAATCTGACTAAGTCTAACGGTTGTAAAATGGGTATCCACCATTAACCTGATGTTTCCCTTGTACTCCTAAAGTCCTACCTAATCCTTATTAATAATGTATATGGTGAGATTTTTGGTATCCTCCCTTCCTATAAATAGGAAGACGCTGTCTGTGCAAGTGCCTCGCAGAAACCATCGACTTCTCTTCCTTTCTTCCGCCATACATGTTTTCTCTCCCTCTCTCCCTCTAAAAATGGCAGAGACGTATCGAATTTCTTCATCTTTCATGGTAAAATTCATCACAAGCCGATCGCTCTCAACAGTAGGCAAATCCAAGACCCCAACTCGGTCCCTAACCGCCAAGCTCACCAACAAGCTCCTCACTGACCCGGAGTCGATAACGATGGCCTCGACCGACTTCGGTAACATCGTCCAGGAAATCCCCCTAGGCATCCTCCAGCCGTCATGCTGCGAGGAAATCGTGGACCTTGTAAGGGCCGCATACAGCGACGATAATTCCTCCGTCCTGTTCCCTATCGCGGCTAGAGGGCGCGGCCACTCAGTCCGGGGCCAAGCCTTGGCCCGGGGCGGGGTCGTAGTGGACATGACATCCTTGGCGAGCAAGCAAGGTGGCACCGGCGGAGGAGCAGCCATTGCCGTGTCGTGGAGTGCACTGCTCGGGCACTACGCCGACGTTGGTGGTGGGCAGATTTGGAGGGACTTGTTGGAGGAGACGCTGGGGCACGGACTCGCACCGGTCTCGTGGACGGATTATTTGTACCTAACTGTGGGAGGGACGCTCTCTAATGGTGGCATAAGTGGGCAAACGTTTCGATACGGTCCTCAAATCAGCAATGTGCATGAGATGGATGTCATTACTGGTATGAACGCTATGAAATCCTTCGATTTTTCTTCTTCTGATTTTTTTTTCCTCTCTTTCATTAAGAGCATCGAAAGGGTCATGCAGCAGTTGGCAACAAGTGCGTTTTGCTTTCTATAAACTTGTGTTTGGTGACAAAATTCTTTGCGGCTAGCTATTTCCGTGGAGTTGGTATACTTGTGTACTTTGGGGTCTTATTATTTCTAGAAGGTCTTTGTTATGAATTTGTTGTCTATTTGTCTTTGCTATATGAATTTCTAATCCTATGTTTTTTTCTTACCAAACCTGTCGTGGACTTTGTCGTGAAAACGCAGCCCATGGTGCCATTTTTTCTCAGATCTTTTTGTTATTATAGATTTTATTAGTTAAAGATTTGTGAGTTGACCCGATCAGCCAACTTATGCATGGTCAAATTATGTCCAGGAAGAGGTAAGACTAAGATGTTTTGTCTTCCCCCTATCAACAAATTGCTTCTTGGAGGATTGTTAAGATCTCGTACCGAATTAAAGGAGCTTTTCGATTTGTTTAGGCATGGAAAGTCACCAAACAAAGTTCTTTAATATTTGCTTGCTTACTTACATGTGAATGAATGTCATTTCTTGTTCTTTCACTTTGGATTCAGGAACTGAGGAACTTATGACTTGTTCGCCCAACGAAAATCCTGAGCTGTTTTACTCTGTTCTTGGAGGTCTCGGCCAGTTTGGCATAATAACGAGAGCGAGAATCGCCTTAGATCGAGCTCCAAAGAGAGTATGAATACTCAGACTCGACTACTCTGAAACAAGATTTTCTCAAGTCATTTTAGAAGATCTTATAGTCAACCTCATAATTCAAAAAAATTAGATAGAGAAAGAGGGAAAAAACATCAAACATATAATATGGTTTTTGGAGCATATTAAAATGGCAACTTGCATATTACTGTTTTCACTATTCTTTCACTTGGTTGATTGAGAGTAAATCACTAGCCTCAAAACATTGTTTACGTTATGATAATTGTGACACGCAGGTCAAATGGGTGAGAATGCTATATAGTGATTTCTCAGCTTTCACGAGAGACCAAGAACATCTGATTTCAAAGAATGGGAGGGACCAAGACAATGCACTGGATTATGTGGAAGGGCTGCTTCTCATGCACCAGGGTCCTCCGGATAGCTGGAGATCTTCTTTCTTCCCTGAGTCGGACCACCTGCAGATCGCGTCGTTGATGGACCGACACAAAATCATCTACTGTCTCGAAGTAGTAAAGTACTACGACGATCTCACCCAAAATACAGTGAACAAGGTAAGACTGAATGACCCTTTTTGACAAACCCTAGCTATGCTTCCACGCATGTGAGAGAGAGAGATAGATGATCTCTCCCTTCTCATGTAAACTAAATCATGTTCCTGCAATTGCCGTCTCCTACTTGACTATTAATCTACTATTCTAGGATCTGGAGAATTTGTTCCAAGGATTGAGCCACATTCCTGAGTTCACGTTCCAAAAAGACGTTGCCTATGTCGATTTCCTCGATCGAGTACGAGAAGGAGAGCTGAAACTTCAAGTGAAGGACCGTTGGGATGTTCCTCATCCATGGTTGAACCTATTTGTGCCCAAATCTCGCATTTCCGATTTCAACGACGGCGTTTTCAAGAGCATCGTCCTCAAAAGGAACATAACGACTGGAACTGTTCTCATTTATCCCATGAATCGAAACAAGTAATTAAGTCTCCAATAGCGACCGATTTATTTTCTCAACTAAGTTAATGAGATCGTGTAATGACAATGTTGGATCCACTTTAAGAGAATAAAGATATACTAATCAATGAATTCTGCAGGTGGGATGATCGGATGTCCGTAGTTGTACCGGACGAGGATGTTTTCTACTTCGTAGGGTTTTTGCATTCGAGCGGGTTCGATGATTGGCAAGAATTTGATCTTCAAAATAAGGAGTTGCTGCAGTTTTGTGAAGATGCAGGTATAGAGGTTAAACAGTATCTTCCCCATTTTGGCAGTGAACGAGAATGGATGAGACATTTCGGGTCCAAATGGAGGTTGTTCCAAGAGAGGAAAGATCAGTTCGATCCCAAAATGGTTTTTGCTCCCGGGCAGAAAATTTTCGACAGCAACTAAAGCATGTAGATTCGTCGCTGCTTCGGTTTAGGGTTTCATAAGATTTTCCAAACTAAAGCACATAAGACATTCCTTCTTTCTTTTAAATTTTGATGCGTTTCGAAATCGCACTGTCTTCTCTGGTTAATGAGTCAGCTAGTCGTATCATGAGATGTATTTATGCTGTACATATTGAACATGCGTTAGTGAATAAGTCCATTAAATTTTGTACAGGCTGTTCGAGATAAACACATCTTCCAAGGATTTTACCACAAAATATAATTTCCGCGATCTTGAAAGGCAAATTTCCCCCGACAACTTGATGCGAAATTGAAAGGTTCCGATATTCAACATTCAAATCTTTACATAACTGAGCTTCATTGAGATGATCGGGCACTACCCACTCCCGTCGGCCGTCCAGCACTGCCACCGGTGACTTCACCGCACCGTCTGTAACAATGGTGTAAAGAAAAGAAAAGTAGAAATGTGGAGTTGGTGGAGGACTTGGTTAAAGGGAGGGGGAGGTGTCCAACCCAAAACAGAAACGAGAAAATAGAAAGTAAAAGAAAGAAAGAAAGAGAAAGTATAAGAATAGAAAAGAAATCCAAGCAACGGTAGAAAATGAGCAAAGGAAAGTGAGTTGCCGAGAGAAAAGGAAGGAAAGAGGAAAGAGGGGATTCACACGTAGACACTCTGAACGTCTCGACAATTTGTGTTGTTGGGGTAGCGAGAGATCAGGCTCAAAGGCCGAAAGGCGTAGGGATGGCAATTTGTGTTGTTGGAGGTAGAACACACACACATCAAACCCGAATATGACGCAATTAATAAATAAGTTGAACTGTCTCGACATTTACATGATATGTTTCATAAAGAAGACAAAACGTTGCAAAAAAAATTGGTAAAATTACGAAATGTGTCACATTGTGTCAGGTGTCGATGCGACACCATACGTTAACTTATGTACACATAAAACATGTTTGTGTACGATAACTTGTGTTAACACTTTTAACAAATTAACTTCTAGACAATACAAGTAATTTCTCTTCACATTAATCTAAAGTGTATTATTGAGATTATGAGTCCCTAAATATCTTCTAATTTTCCCATTTATTCTTTTTGGCATGGGTGATAATTTTACAAGCTTCTAAGGATAAAAAGAGCAAAATGACACTACAAGTGTCATAAGTTGTGTACGGAGGACACTTTGGTGCTATAACTTTTTTCGGAACACTTTGTGCCAAGTCGGAGGAAAAGAGATCACTTAAGTGCCAATTTGATCGGAAATCCGACGTGGCATTTTTTATTAATTTTTACGCCGACGTGTAGCTAAATTTGGAGGATAAGTCGCGTGTATAATCGCATTTTTATTTTAAATAATTTTTTCCAGCGTGTACAATAAGATTTTTTTAAAATAATTTTTTCCTTTTTTTTCCTCTTCTTTCCCTTTACTTTCTTTTCTCCCCTCGCTGCCGGTTGCCGGTGGCCGGGCCGGCCACCGCGGCTCGGGAAGGGCTAGGCGAGGGCAGCCTTGCTCATGGCCGGCGGGGCGGCCTTACCAGATCTGGGTGAGGCGACCCTCGCCGGCGATAGCGAGGCCGCCCTTCGCCGGCCATGGGCGAGGGGCGGCCTTGCCGATCCGGGGCGAGGCGACCTAGCCGGCAAAGTAGGCCGCCTTTTTTCCTTTTTTTTTTTTCTCTTCTTTCCTTTTTCCTTTCTTTTCTTTTTTTTCTTTTCTCCCCTCGTCAGTCGGTTGCGGTGGTCGGGCCACCGCGAAGCCCGGAAGGGTTGGGCGAGGTGGCCTTGCCCATGGCCGGCGAGGGTGGCCTCACCAGATCCGGGCGAGGCGACCCTCGCCGGCGATAGGCGAGGCCGCCCTCGCCGGCCATGGGCGAGGGGCGGCCTCGCGATCGGGCGAGGCGACCTCGCCGACGATAGGCGAGGCCGCCCTCGCCGGCCATGGGCGAGGGGCGGCCTCACTAGATCCGGGCAAGGCGACCGCCGCCGCGACAGCGAGGCCTCCCTCGCGTGATCTGGCGAGGGTGGCCTCGCCCATTGCTGCCGAGGGCGGCCTCGCCGATCCGGGCAAGGTGACCTCGCCGGCGACAGGCGAGGCCGCCCCTGTGACATCCTGAAAAAATTAATCCATTTGGGATTTATGAAATACTGGATTTTATGAATGTACTGTAGATCGTCGCTCGCCTAACCGATCATTCCTATGAATGCTAACCATTAGGGAAAAGCTAATAGGGAATTAAATTCCGCGACTAAAGAAAATTCGATCATAAATGGATTTCGACCATTAAATCGCTGAAGTGATATTTTGAACCACCGTTGGCCGATCCAAGGACGCTTAGGGGCGTTGCCACCGTCCTAGTAGTGGATCGCGGGTGATTCCGTTGGACCACGAAACGACTTGACGAATGATTCTGAAATTATACCGAACGATCGTATCCCTCGGATCAAGTGATTGATCTTCGCGATTTTAATGACAACCGAGGTCGTCACGCACCGAACGGACTTGCACGTGACTCGATTCAAGATCGCCATGAGTCGATTCTCGAATTTCCCAAGCCGCCTGTTAGCTTGAGAAACGCTCGAGTTGCGTTTAATAGAATTTAATTGTGGAATTTTGCCCAAATTGGACATCGGAAAATTAGGAAGTCGCGACGGAACGTTAGGATGACGTTGCACGTGACACGTGTCAATTTTTGGTGCGCTCAAATTCTTCGGAAAAATTCGATCCGAACGAGAAATGGAGAAAGTGACGATTTTGCCCTTAAGGATTTATAAAGGATTAGTTTTAGGGGCAAGGGGCATTTTGGTCATTTGTGCCTTAGATATTTTGGGTCAAAGTTACTATTTAGTCTAGACCACTCTTCTCTCTCTCCTCTCTCTCTCATTTCCCATTCGGTTCTCTCTCTCCCCGTGAAAATTTCCCCCAAATTGCCGTGAGCTTCCCCCTCCTCCACCGTGGGCTTTCCTTGGCCGTTCTTCCTCCACCACCAGCACCACCACTCGCCACCACCGTCCGGACCGCCCTCAAGCCACCACCACCAGCCGTCGTTTTCTCTCTCTCTTCCTCTCGGTTCCCCCCCTTTGGCCGTGAGCCTTGCCGGCCACCGCCCAAGTAAGCCGCGCCGTCGCCACCCAAGCCGATCACCGCCACTCGGAGCCGTACGTTGTCGCCGCCGTTCCCGATTAAGGGCCGCCGCTTTCCGTTCTAGCCGCGATAGTCTAGAACGCGGGTAAGTCGCGCTCTAAACCCAATTTAGGACTTCGGGTATCGATGGGCGATTTTGGGCGAAATATGTATAAAGTTAGGTGCGGAATTGTATGAATTGGTAGTGGAAATTTTATGGCGGGCCTTGGGATTTAGTTCGGGCATTAATTATTGGAAATTCAGAAAAATAGGGGTTGCGAATTACTGTTCACGAGCTGTGATTTACTGTTCATGAGGCTGTGATGGTCCGATCGGGACGCAAGTTGGATTTCTAGAACCGAGATTTAATGGTGAGAAAGTCCCGTGAAGGACCGGAATCAATTTGACATCGTTTGGCAGAGAAAAATAGAAATTTATGTGTTTTACGTGTGTTTTAATTATATTTGAGTTGGAATGGTGAAATTTACAATATGCGGGTGCGAAAAATTGGAATTTATGATTGGAATTGTTTGGCGGGCCTTGAGGACTATTTTTGGAATTTTTGGAGAACAATTTGAGGTAAATTATAAGTTGCGAGTTACTATCACAAGCTGCGAATTACTGTTCACGGGGCTGTGATGATTTGTTTGGGACACAAGTTGGATTTTTAGAACCATTATTTAATGGCGAGAAAGTGTCGTGAAGGATCGGAATTAATCCGACGCCATTTGGTTGGAGAAAATTGGCAATTTACGTGTTTTGGGCATGTTTGAATTATTCTGGATGGGGTTGATTTAATTGAGTATTTGTTTGTGTGTTATATGAGGTAACTCGACGATGAAATAATGATGTTTCGAGGCTGGAGTGAGACTGAATAGAGTGTCGGATGTTGTGGGATGGAATTGGCAAACTTAGGCTCGATTTAAGGCTAGGTAGTGTCGGTTTGGTGTGTGGTAGTATGGTTAGATTGTGATGTTTAATAGGCTTGAAAATGTCGAAATTATGCCTATGAGCGTGGCTGTGATTGTGGGCCCATGAACGGCCTTGTGTGTTTATTGAACCGTGATTTGATAGATTGAAATGTGCTTGATTAGGTGCACGTGTGGGCCGATTGAATTAATTGTTGAAATTGACCATGTCGAATGCCGAGTGAGCATGTTTTACGTGTTAATTGATGCGTGCACGGGCCACGTTTGATGGGCCAGTTGAGTGTAGTAAATGCTTGATGAGCATGTGCATGAGTAAGAAAGAAAAGTGGTGTGGCATGTGATAGTGGAAGTTATGTGAAGGTGTGTAAGTGCGAGAATGGGATCGGGCCAAGTATCATAAACTCGGGCCGCGATCATGTAGGTCTGTTGCATTTGGCACATGCTTGAGGCTTGAAAACGCAAGAATGAGAATCGGTCCGAGGCACGATCAGCTTGGGTGAGACCGGGATTGGACCGAGGCATTATAAGCTCGGGTTTCGATCATGTAGGCTGTCGCATTTGGCGCGGGCTGAGGAAAGTGTGAATGTGGGATCAAACCGAGGCGTGTGATACTCGGGCGCGATCGAGTGTGAATGTGGGATCGGACCGAGACGTATGATGCTCGGGCGCGATAGAGTGTGAGTTGGGATCGGCCCTGGGGCGTGTGATGCCTGTGTCGCGATCGGGGCCCGAGGCGTGAACGAGTACGTAAGCCGAAGTGTGGTGATGATTGGTCGCAGTGTACCCGAGGCGCGTACTTCAATGCGGGTCACCGGCGAGGATTGTGAAAGTGGAAAATGAGAATGGAAGGAATAATGGGATGAGAACGGTACATGCGCGTGTTGCATACGACGTAATCGTGATTGAGTGCAAATGTGTGCATTATTAAGCCTGACCGTCTTAATTGATGTGCCTATGAAGTGATTACTTGATGTTCGTGAATGTGTGTGATTGCGTAATTGTCTGGAGGTACGTGATAGCCTAGGTGGGATTTAGGGGTGAACTTACTGAGAAGTGTTCTCACGGTTGTTTCAACCGACAATTTGTAACCCCGACAGAACCATGAATCCTCCACCGCAGCCACCCGAGTGTTTTGGGGTACCCGTGCACCGCGAGTTGGACGTTGCGAGTTTCCAACGGGAGATGGGATAACCGGATTAGGCATACTACTACCGTTGTAGAAATAGGCTTGCCCCGATGGGAGGAACAAGTACACTGCCTGGTTCTTCCGGGATGCTGACGGGGATGAGTTCGGGCCCGTTAGGGGTTTTGATGTTCCCTTTGATTTAGTTGGGGATTGGGACCCGACGGCCGTACCCCCGATAGACGGAGAGTTGACTAGTGTGGATACTAGTTTAGCTCAGTCGGGTTTGCATTCAGCGGCCGCAGCTCAGGGATCTTCAGAGAGGCTGAGCATGAACCCGAGCCCGAAGCGTCGCAAGCTAAAGACAATCCGATGGACATCGATTTGGAACCGATCCCCAAGGAAGAACCAGAGGAAGCGGAGGCCGAGGTAGAACCTGAGGTGGAACCCGAAGTGAAACCCGAGGACGAACCTGGCGAGTCTGAAGAGCCTGTAGGAGACCCGGAGTATATACTCCCTTTTGAGGAATACATGGATCCCAATTACGTGCATGAGTATAATTTCTTCGATTTCTTGGCCGAGGAGTATCAGAACGCAGCTCCAGCTGAGTCGGGCGACATCAATCACTCGATTGTGATCGAAGCGAGTTAGAGCCCTCGGAGGAGCACCGCCCGGAGAGTTCGGAGTCGGAAGATGAGGAGTCAAACTCGGAATGGACGCCTAGCAAGGGGCGTTAGGGGTTAATTCAAGGGTTCTTAATAGGTTTTTGGAAAGTAACATTTGTGGGATAGAAAGTCAGGTCATCGATCTTTTTGGTATATCGATGGTTTGTAACACGGGGTGCAAGCATACGCAATGGTGGTAAAGTATGGCGGTTGTAAGTTGTGAATATTTTATAAGTTGGTAATGTAAAGAAATATGTGTATTCTCCCTATTCTCCCCAGTTTTATTTGTCAGGGATTAATTATGAATTCCGCTGTGGCTTTAAATCTCTGATGGTTATTTGAGATCGGCGACATTCCTGGGATATCGTGCAAATCGACTAGGTAAGGGTGTCGCGTGCCCGATGGGGTTCGGGGCGTGACACCCCTCGCCGGCCATGGGCGAGGGGCGGCCTCGCTAGATCTGGGCGAGGCGACCCTCACCGGCGACTGGCGAGGGGCGGCCTCGCCAAATGGGCGAGGCGACCCTTGCCGGCGACAGGCAAGGCCTCCCTCGCCGAATCGCAAGGCGGCCTCGCCCATGGCCGCCGAGGCGGCCTCGCCAGATCTAGGCGAGGCGACCTCGCCGCGGCGGCGAGGCCGCCCTCGCCCATGGCCTGCGAGGCGGCCTCGCCTGTCGCCGGCGAGGGTCGCCTCGCCCGATCCGCGAGGCCGCCCGCGCGGCCATGGGCAAGGCCGCCTCGCCTAGCCCTTCCCGGCTTCACCGGTGGCCGGCCCGGCCACCGGCAACCGGCCGACGAGGGGAAAAGAAAAGAAAGGAAAAAGGAAAGAAGAGGAAAAAAAAGGAAAAAAATTATTTAAAATATAAAATACCATCGTACACGCTGGAAAAAAATATTTAAAATAAAAAATGCTGATCGTACACGCCGACTCATCCTCCGACGAGCCACGCGGTGTCAAAATTAACAAAAATGCCACGTCGGATTTCCGCCAAATTGGCACTTAAGTGATCTATTTTCCTCCGACTTGGCACTAAAGTGTTCAGAAAAAGTTATGGCACCAAAGTGTCCTCCGTACACAACCTTACAAGCTTCTAAGGATAAAAATGTCTTTAAATAAGAATACCAAACATATTAAAACGTGTCTAATTTTGTTGTGTTGAAATAAATGACACTCTAACACATTAACTTCAATATGTTGGTTTGTGTCTAAACAAATGACACGCTAATTTTGTCATGTTTAATCGCGTCACAAGAATCCGTTTATGCCAAACCCAAACCTTTTTAATTACTTATCATGACGCGTCGTGCAAACATGTGGTGTCGAGAATTGTCGACCGTAGAGAGGAGGCAGCGTTGGGGTTGTGGTGTCGGATCGCCAAAGTGAACCGTCGTGTTCCAATCAACTCCCTCGCCTCATCATCACTCGAGACAAAATGGCACTTCCGGCAACCACATGACAGTCGTGTGCTCATGTTCTACCGTCGAGTAAGCGTATTTTTGTCCCAAAAGACAAATCAAGTCCTCCCGATAAATTCGCGCGACCTTCACGTGAACGCCAAACTAAACCCTAAATTGAATTTGGAGAGAGAGGGGACGACGGGGATGGTGAATCCAATGGGAGCAATTGTTGGAGTTTTGAAGCAACCGAAATTGAGAGCAAGTACTGAGCCTAAGGTTTTAATGGGATCAACAACGGGCTCGCTTGTGGCGGAGCAATTGGATTCGGGGTGGTCGGCATTCGGCATGGGCGTCCGGTGGATGCGCCTGTTGCGGTGATCGGAGGCTCCTTTGGATGACGAGAGATGTTGGAGATTTTGATTCGGAAATTAATCTAAAAAGTTATAATCTATTGCAATTATGCCAATTTAGTCATAAACCTTTTAATTATGCAAATTGAGTTAAAAACCTATTTCACGTTTTGCCAATTGAGTCCATCAAGCCAATTTTGGCCGAAAATCGCTGACGTGAACGTCGGTCGTCTTACGTGGTACTGCCGGTGCTGACGTTGATATTTTTAATAATATATTAATTTTTTTCTTTTATTTTCTTTGCCTTTTTCTTTTTTTCCCTGGACTTAGGGCCGGCAACCCTCCCCGGCCGACCCTCCCCTGCCACAGGCGAGCGCCAAGATGCCCACGCCCGGCTAGGCCGCGACACTCTCGCCAGATCTGGTCGGGCAAGGGTGTTGTGGCCAGTGCCAGCCCCGAGCAAGGCCGTCGCGGCCCTAGCCCAGAGCCGGCGAGAGCATCCCGGACGTCATTCAAGGAAGAGTGCATAGAAGTGAATCCACCCCCCAAAATGAAAAGCATCCCAATCCATCGAAAAAAAAAAACAGAACAAAGAAAACCTTCTTGTACTAAAATACATGGACCGGTCTCTCGAGGATGACAAGGAATTAAGGATACCACACGCCACCAAAACCGAAAAACTTACAACGTTTAATCCAATCTATAATAAAGAAAGAACAGAAGGAACAGCACCAAAGTTCCAATGAGAAGCCCCATTGCTAACGCCATATTCTCCCACGTCTTCTTATCTGTCTTGATCACCATGAGATTCGAAGTCCGGTTCTTTCAAGCACGGCCCCATATTCTCCTGCTTTGGCTCTTCAGGTTTAGTGATTTGGTCCACCTTGCAAAATCTGAAGAAGAAGAGACGATTTCATCAGTAAGTACGCGACGTTCATGTAGCGAGCGCTTGGGGGAAATGAATCGGTCTGGAGATTTACCTCATGATCGCCGCGTTAGGATTGTCGTCCCATTGCTCGGAAGCGCGAAAGAAATCGATGGGCTCGATGCTGGTCGCTCCTTCTTCGTACGTCGATTGGTAATTGAGTCCTTGATGATAATCCATGTTACTCGAGTCAAGCAGATTAGTGGCCTACATGCACAAAAGGATGACACTTTAAACGAGTCCCTCTCGAAAATACCATCGTCAAGATTTGTTAATTATGTCTAGGCTTACCGGATTGGACCGAGTCATCCCGTAGAAACTCCCGCCGCCGCCTCCATTCGAGAGAAACGACAGCGGCAACGGCGGGAGTTCAACTGTAGCATCGTTAAGTTCCAGCCGTTGCCTCTTCAATTCCCGGTCTCTCTGCCGAAGGAAAGATAGGAAATGGTTCGCTTCTTCGAGCTGCTTCTCACAGAACTCTATCTGCCACTTGAGTCTCCGAGCGATGCCGAGACATCCGTGCACAGGATCGCCTCTCCTGATGTTACCCTCCATGAGTATCGACTCGGCGGCTTCTTTTCTCGACTCAGGGTCGACCGCGTTCACGATGCTGTGTATGTTGTTCACACCGAAGAGCCGCTGTGCGTTCTGGAACTCCTCGAACCGGCTCGCCGGGAAGAGCTCGGCATATTGGCAGCTGCCGTCGCACCTCTTCCTCTGGTGTCTACACGATGCGCATGCTTTGGACGCTGCAGGCATGGCTTGCCCAATCGATTAGGATTTTGGTGTCACGTATGAATTCTCAATGCGAGAGATTGAAGTGCAAAAGCAATGGCAAAGCAATCTTTCTTATAGAGGGGTTCGAATTGAATGCAGGCTTTGACTTGGTTAGATTTCTAGCAAAATTTGGATGACTAGTGTTAATGGGGTTAGATTTTGTTTGCCCTAAATGAAACCAAGGTAACTAATTAATTGCCAAAGTCACATTGTTGCTTAATATCTCATTAGTAAGTAAATCCATCATTGAATTTTAACCTCAAACTTTTGTCCGAAAATTTGAAAAAAGGCCTATGCATGATACCTAATTGTATGATAATAATGAACTTTTTTCATCCAATGGACGAAAGCTAAGGTTTGGATTGTTTTTGGTCCATATAAAGAAATTAGGACACCAAAACTTCGAAGAACAAAGAATCCGATGACTATGTTCAATAAGGTTGGAAGCCAAGGTTGGACATCCTATCCATGATGCAAGAGAAGGCGCCATCAACCTTGCAATGTCGATCTCCAGTTCTTTTTTCTTACTTAGCTAGTTTTGATTTTGCTTAACTTTGACAATTCTGATAGTGAAAGCATTAGAGCCTTTACATTTCTGTCAAACAAGGGCTCCCACATGCTAGATTTATTTCCTTTTAAAGGTAATGTGTAGGTAATTTACCTACCACGAGGTTAAATTGTGTCCATTTCAAGTTTCAATTCGTTAAAAAAATTTTAGGATCCGGCAATTCCCGATCGATTCTTGAAGACCTCCGAACGACTTATTCAGACCAGAAAATCGTACATGGTGGCGTCCAAATTGAGAGAATGTCAAACCTTAGTCATAGGAAAGCAATGGAAATGACATTCTCATCAGCCACATGATCAAGAAGCCCCTTCCGAAAAGCATCTCAAGCTGAAATCTTTACAAAATTGGATTTTGTAAAAGATTGTCCTTCGGATTTTTGTTAATTACGTAAGACGTTGGAACCAATGTTTTCTCGGCCTTGTCGAGCTAACTCAAACCACTTGGGCTACCTTTGGTAGTCGGGATAAAATTCAAGATAAGATAAATTTTATCATATACCGTGTTTGGTGTCTGCCCAAGACAGGATAAAGTCGGATATAAGAGTGATATAGTCTAGATAAAATTATCCCATGAGAGAGGTGGGATAAAGGTAGATAGGATTTCTAATATTCACATAAAATTTATTTTTATCCAATAACAAACTTGTTAAACTAATAAAATTAAAATAATATTTGAATATAAATAATATTTGAATTTTAATATAAAAATTCAAAATAACAAAAATTTCGTTTTTATTTATTCTTATGTTTATTTATATATTCAAATTTATTTTTATCTTATGAAATAAATTTCATATATATATAAATTTAGTATTTATATACACTACATATTTTAGGTATATTAGTATAGTTTACTATTTAATAAAATTTTATTAGAGAATGATGGAAGGGTAACAAAGAATTAAAAAAAGAAAAGAATTAAAAAAGGGAGGGAAAAATAATTAAAAAAATAAGCAAATAAAAATGAAGTAGGTAAGAGTGTTTGAGAAATTTTTATTGTGTCCGTTTGTGCAATTTTTAGGTCCATTTACATTGATATGACGTTCATAGCAAATAATAGATATGGTAATACGTAAAAATATTCGGTTTTATTATTGCGATTTACCAAATAATAGATAGGTTATAGCAAATCTCTTGGATTTCATATCATATTTTATCCAATCCTATATTGACTAAAAATCCAAACGACCAAACGCAGCCTTGAGGGCTAAACCTAGCTACTCACCATGATACAAAAGAAGACATTATTCTTGGTTTGGCCTTAGATGGACCCTCTGATACTCAAGTCAGTAGACAAATAATTTGGAGATTAAAGAGAAATTTGTGAGAGGATCTTCTTAAAGAAGAGAGTGAAAAAAGTAGAAAAATGTAGGGCTTGCATTTTAGGCTAGTATCATTACTTTTGGAAAATTCCAACGAACATGAAGTGAGTTCATTTTCTTAAAATAAGTCTAAAGTAGACATTGTTTCAAACAATGACCTAAAATAGTCACTTGATATCAAATAAGAGCCTGAAGTATTATAAATTCAACAGTTCCAAGCCTAACATTCCTAATTTGCTAATTACTACCATCAAACACAAGTTCAACAAGAACAACTTTGGGATATGATTCCATTTAGTTAGCCAGTAAGCGCGAGCGAAAAGAGGAAGAAGGAAGAACAATAAAAGAAGAAGAACATAAACAGATAAAGAAGAAAAAAGGAAAAAAAAGTCTTTGGACAAATATGCCCCTAGCTATGCCGTCGGAGTTCGTTGGCTAGCCAGATCTCCATCCCTATTTGAAATTTCCACTCCATGCCTTTATTTAAGCTAATATTCATTTTAGGCCCTTTTTTTTTTTTTCAGAAAATGATTTAACTTCAAGGCTCCGTTCGTTTGGCGGAAAATATTCTCCTTTTGGAAAATATTTTCCCGGAAGTCATTTTCCGAACATAATTTTCGGGTGTTCGGCGACCAATATGAAAAAGTTTCGGAAAAATATTTTCGCCGCGGCCCGTGCGGTCAGCTGCCAACATCCGGTGGCCGGCGGCGGCAGCCAGCGCGTATGGCCGGCAACCAGTAGCCGGCGGCCGCAGCGGCCAGCGACCCGCGGCGTGACCGGTGGCTGGCGAACGGCCGGCGGCCGGCGGCGGCGGCGGCGACCTTAGTGAAGAAGAAGAAGCTCTGGAAAATGATTTACTAACTTTTGAAGAAGTGGAAATCATTTTCCATGAAACTAAATATTTTGTGAGGGGAAGAAAAATATTTTCCCACGGAAAAGCATTTTCCGCCCCCGAACACCGCTAAACCGAAAAATATTTTCGGAGAATATTTTCCGCCAAACGAACGGAGTCCATTTGAAATTTTCCCATACTTTTTTGCACCCCCATCATTGTGCTCTCCTGGTAAGTTGAGAGACCTTGGTGGGCTTTATCCCATAAAGGCTTTGTAGGGCGAGAGCGTTCCTAGATAAAGGAAAGGAAGTTGGGCTGGCCCATGGGCCCTGCTGAACGAAGGCCAGGCCACAGTACTCTCTTTGGGCCCCTGGGCCTAGAGCAGGGGCCCAACCATTCAAAGTTGGATATTCCTCCTCTCTCAAAGCCATGGTTTCCTTGGTTTGTGCTCATGGGCCCGAGCCCATTAGGAAACAGAAAAAAGCAAAAAAGAAAATCAGTTTTACCAACATACAGAATCAATGCTTTCAAATCAATCTCTTCTCAGATCAATCATATTCAACAAGTGTCCTTTGATCACTATCCAGAAGCTCACGTGAAATTGAGTACAAGGGTTTGTCGAATCCCAAACTTACTTAGACCTGTTAGAAATAATTAGAGATTTCTTCGGGATAATTCCTTATGCTAGAGATATTTTCAAAATTTTGCTGATTCTCCATATCTCTCAATATTACGCGTAAATCTCCTTTCAAATATCTTGATTGATATATTATTTTAGATAGTCATATAATAAAGTCTATAAGTAAGCTCATGTGTTTTTCTTCAATACATATCGAAATTTTCGGAAATTTATCAATTCTCTTTTTATTATTAACTGCTCCCGTCTGATCCAAGGTGACATATATAGCAAATGAACCATACTTTTTTTTTTCTCTCCTTCTAGGAATGAACAGCTCACAGAAAAGATGCAGACCGAGGAAACCAGTACAATCCTGTGGACAAGGTCGTGAAAAATGTTTCATGCTGCGGTCGTTGATTCACGGTCCGTCAACATGTCGTGGAATGCATGATCTTTGAACTCCTAGTTAATAGAAAAAGAGGGGATCGTTAGTGGGTGGGGCGGAGCAGCAGCAGCAGCAGCCACAGTCAAGCTGATCTTTTCCTCTGTCTTTGGTCTTTTGTTCACATTGGCAGGCCCAGCAGCACAATGATGATGTCTTTCGACGTTTGTCGCCTACGATGCCACGATCTGGAGAGGCAAAAGAACATTCCCATAGATTCACAGCTTGTCCACAAACCCTGGGTAGATTAGGGTTTTCATGATTCATCAAAACATCTTCAATATTGTCTCCGCTTTGCCTAATTTAATCATGGAACTTGTTAACTGAGTGCAAGTGGGCTCTGTAGGAAAAATTCTGCAGGAAAAATTATCCAAAAAGTCGTAAAGTTACTGTACAAAAGCCAACTCAGTCCTAAACCTTTCAATTGTACCAATTTAGTTATAAACCTTTTGACGACTTGCCAATTTGATCCTAAACCTTTCAATTATGTCAATTTAGTCCTAAATATTTTTGACCATTTGCAAATAAAATCCTTCGGGCAAAATATTCAAATAATAGGATTATGACTAAATTGACATATTTTCAAAAGGTTTAGGATTAAATTGACACATGGAAAGGTTTATGACTAATTATCACAATTGAAAGGTTAATGACTAAATTGGCTTCCGTACAATAGCTTTAGGACTTTTTAGACAATTATCCCGAGCTCTATAATTAGATGAAAAATTAAATTGATTTTGCAAACTTTCTTATATACTATGTTTACAAGTAATCATGAGACACTCGACAACAAAATTCTTTACATATACCAAGGATGGAGATTGTCTTTAAGTTATTCAAAAAACATAACGTGTGAACAGTAGTGCAGAATAGGTCGCATTATACAGTGTGGCGGCACTCCAAAAACTAGACCGGCGAAAGAGAAGTTTTAGTAATCCTCCCATAATGTGTGATTTAATCCCTTTCTCTTTTTTTAGTTCTTTTAACTAGTTCCCTTAAAGATCACGAGAGATTTTGATTTATTCGAACCTTCGACTCAACTGATCTCACAAAGACAAAAAAAGAAGAAGAAAAAAGCCGATCCGTCAACGCGTGTATTGTATAAGGCTCCAACCATGAGACATCGTACTGGGCGTGACTCCCAAAAATTAGTTCAAGTTGATTTTGTTGTGATTTGAATGAGGGGATCCGTCACATTCG